TGCATAATTTTTGATAGCCCTATACATGATTCCCCCTGCTCCTGTGAACGTGTCACTTTACTTAATTATTATTGTTTTATTCATAACAGGATCGTTAACCTATGACAGCAAACATTTTTGTTATAAGGGCTAAAAACGTTCAGTGTCCAATCAGACTAGATTTATTCTGTTGCCCTGTAAACCCTGTGATTTGCTGTATGCCGACATTCCCTCAACAGATAGGCCTTATATTTATGTCTGTCTGGCTACTTCTTCAGGCCGAGTGACTTCAGATGATGTTCCGAACAGAACAGTGATGACAATGAAGACATCTGTATAAAGTGTTGATGAAACTATGAACGTTTTTAAATCTGCAAGGCGAGATCAAACCATATGCTTTATCTGTAGCCATAGTGTGGGTAAATGCACAGAACGTCCAACCAAACATTGTAGTTAAACTCTTCTCCCGCCCGGCTATCCTTGGCTCCCCGTGGCCGGGCAGAGCTGGAGAGGTCGAGCCGTAATCCCCACCGATCAGGCCTCAGGGTGGAGCTCAGCTAACAGAGGACCCTTCTCCTTTGTCCATCCGAAGGCAAAACAATTATCCACACACACTGCAAAAGCTATAGAATACTTTATGCATGATAACTCTGTTCACTGAAGATGGTACAAATGGGAAAAGTAATGTGGACTGGGTTGAATTACAGTTGTCACACACACACACCCACACCCACACCCACACACACACACACACACACACAGTATTTCGCTGCTAACAATTCAGTCCCATTCAAAATCCTATTTTCCCTAACCCCTAAAACTAACCCTATCTCCTAACCTTAACCCTAAACCTAATTCTAACCTTAACCCTAAACCTCCTAGAAATAGCATTTGACCTTGTGGGGACCAACAAAATGTCAGAAGTTCGTCAAATGTATCTTGGTTTACTATTATTGTGGGAACTTCTGGTCCCCACAAGTATAGTTAAACACGTACCCCCCCCTAAAGTTCAGCATCGATAGTAATGTCAGGTAATTTGGACTCCCGACTCCCCCCCCCCCCCCCACACACACACACACAGTCTTGTACAGCTAACCTTGTGGGGACACACTATTCAGTCCCATTCAAAATCATATTTTCCCTAACCCCTAACCCTAACCCTAACCCGTACTCTTACCCTAACCCTAACCTTAACCCAAAAACCTAACCCTAGCTCCTAACCCTAATCCTAATTCTAACCTTAACCCTAAACACCCTAGAAATAATATTTGACCTTGTGGGGACTAAAAAAATGTCCCCAGTTGGTCAAATTTGTGTTCGTTTAAACACGTCCACAATACACACACACACACACACACACACACGAGGTGAAATACCATATCAACAGGACAAGTATCTCATGCATATTGTGCCTTCGTCTACGGCTACTTAATACACATAGGCTACTTACCATGTATATACGCTACACACACAATTCAGGTAAAACCGCGAGCACAACGCTCAGCCTTTGCTCTCAGCAGGGAGCTACAGGCCGGGATGTGCTTCAACTTGTACCTGGCCCTGGATCACAGGCTGCTAAGTAAACACACGTAAATTAATGTGCAATAGTGGTCTAAAAGCGACTAATGACTTGACTGGACTGAAGCAGATAAGCGTAGTACAGAAAATGAGTCAGGAAGTTGTGTATTTCTTTATGTGGAGGTGAGACTGGAGTTCTTATGTCATTAAATATGACTGAGATCCAGTGAATAGGGTAAATCATCACAATTACAACAACCACTTCGTTGACATTATAGCCTATAATAATATAACATAAACAAACAAATAAAACACTCCCCAGTATAGCCTACTTTTCACAAATAATCGAAGTACATTGGAGCCCCTTAGTGGAAAAGCACCTACCAACAGAGCTACATCCCTGCCGGCCATTCCCTTCCCTACCCTGGAGGAAGCTGGGCCAATTGTGCGCCACCCCATGGGTCTCCCGGTCGCGGCCGGCTACGACAGAGCCTGGATCTCTAGTGGCACAGCTAGCACTGCGATGCAGTGCCTTAGACCACTGCGCCACTAGAGATCCTGGTTCGAATCCAGGCTCTGTAGTAGCCGGCTGCAACTGGGAGACCCATGGGGCAGCGCACAATTGGCCCAGCTTCGTCCAGGGTAGGGAAGGGAATGGCCGGCAGGGATGTAGCTCTGTTGGTGGAGCATGGCGTTTGCAACGCCAGGGTGGTGGGTTCGATTCCCACGGGGGGCCAGTATGAAAAATCAAAAAAGAATCTATGCACTCACTAACTGTAAATCGCCCTGGATAAGAGCATCTGCTAAATGAAAAAAAATGTAAATGTTATGGAATTAAACTGCAAGGACAGGATGTAGAATTCCAAAGTTCTCATCCCAATCCTCTGCATCTTGGTCAAGTATTTATAGACAAAGATTATATAGCCTATACCCTATGTGGAGAGATTTCGAGGGTTAGGCCTCACTATGGCTATTCTAACCCACGACCATGTGCGTCAGAAACAGTTCCCATGATTTGCATGTTCTCTTTTCTTTCAGTTCACAATTCAACCCGTCGGTATAGCGCCATCGCCGGTGCTTTCTCCTGATCATCTGCGGGGTCACAGAGAGCTGCAGCTCGGCAGCGAAGCCTATACCGTAAATGTACCGAAATCAGCATATAACCAAGGGAGATATACTTGTACAGGTTAAACCGTCATCATGAATGATCATATATATCTCCTATGCATGCTTGTTGTCTCACACGCATGCTTGTTGTCTCACACGAACACAAACAACAACAACAACAACAACTACAACAACAATTAACAATCCATTACAGGCCTCTTTACATTAGGAGGAGGGCGCAGTTAGTGATGATATGGCACAGTGTCACATTTCTCCTCTCACCCTCACCCGGCTCTGCTCTCAGAATATCAACCCATTATCAACATATGCATGTGCATAATAGAGCCTTAAACAGTGTGTGTGTGTGTGTGTGTGTGTGTGTGTGTGTGTGTGTGTATTTTACCTAAATGCATACTGATATGCCTATGTGCAATAGGCCTATAATAAACCTGATATTAATTATTATCAAGTTTGCAGAAGAGGCAACTCTGAGCGTGCACTTTTACAGCAAGTGAAAGCAAGAGCTTTTCCCAGACTAAGCGCCCGTCACGTTGCTCGTGTTTTTATCGTGGTGGACCGGGGAACAGCAGACTTGGTGGCCGGGATAGAAATAGCATATCTGTCGGTTTGGAATGGGACCGCGAGAAAGACTGACCATTAATACCGAGGTGAATGACAATGCACGCTGCCCCCAATGTCTCTCCAAGCCCGAGAAAATAAAACTACACCGTATGGAACAACGCCAACTGTGAAGAGATACACACACACATACCCACACACATTCTAACACACGCACTCTACACACACGTGCATTGTAATGTTGTGATATAGATGTATTATACATTTTGAAGTGTATATATGTAGTGGTAGAGTAGTAGTGTAATAATGTGTTGTATGATGTAATGTTTTTGTTGTTGTTGATGCAATTGCCTTAATCTTGTTTGGACCCCAGGAATGGGGTTCCTTAATAAATATCAAATATAAAAGGAGGGCACACACAGACACACATTGACCATTCACCAAGTTTGCAACCTAAATGCATTTAACAAAATGTAGAATGGTATCGAAAACTAATCAAATATAACACAATTGTGTACGTAGGCCTATGTTTGTATTAATTCTGAAATAATAAAGCCGCCCACGCATATATGTGTCGCTATGCGTAACGGTTTGGCCAAATCGTCGTTAGAATGAGCTCTCCTTTCAACCTCGAAATTCACGACAGAACTAAAAAAGCTCATGCCAAAGAATAATTTCCTCGAGTACCCCGACATAATTTGGGAGTTCAAACAGCGTTCTACTCAGGTGAAAAATGTAAATCTCTTTGTCTGAGTCCATTTGAAAGAAGGTTACAACAAATGTTCACAATAGCATTAGCAAGGGGGTTAGCCAGATTGACAGACGTCTGAATTCAAACACGCCTGAATTCAACCATGTATGGTTTGGGAATCATATGACATCTATTGGCCTATATTTATTTGAAATAATATTTGTGCTCTCAATAATCCCACGTTGTTTGACTGACAGCGCTATAGGCATAAAGCCATAAATAGCCCACTAGCAGGATATAGGAGACGACTTGCCCGTTTCAGCAACTTCAGCTATACCACTTAATCTCTTAAAAAACAATATTGAAATATGAACTTTTCATAGCGGCATTATTTAGCATATTTAACAAACGGAGGTGGGGGTACAATGGTATGGTAATCAACGGGGGGTTTGAGAGGGGGAGGTCAGGGGGTGGAATATCCATTTTTATTGCATCACCTGTCAGCGGCGTCCAATAAGCTTCGAGTCTGAGGGCATTAATTGATGAAGGTGTCTCCGGGCTCGTGCACTTCCCCTCTGTCATTTTATTTGTGGCTAACCCCGAATCCAGGAGAGCAGCTGCATTTAGGCTCTTATTCTCTCTCTCTCTATCTCTCTCTCTCTCCTTCCATCCCTCCCTCCCACCCCCTCTCTCTCTCTCTCCCTCCCTCTCTCTGTGTAGCTCTCTCCCTACCCCTCTCTCTTTTTATCCTCTCGTTGTGGCAGTGGTGTACACCTTCCTGTCGTGGTGCCGGTCAGAGGGAGTGAGCTGGAGAGGAGGAGAGACAGGGGATAGCAGACAGCCAGCAGCCGGCCTGGCGGTAATCCCTCGCATTCCTCCACCATGCCTGGTCCGGGGCAGGGCCCGGGGACTGATGCTGTGAACCCATCCGATACCACTCCATTTAACTCTGCATCTCAAAGTTTGCCTGTCCATGACGCAGCGTGGAGGTAGGCTACTAGGACGCATAAGCAGCGGCCGGCGCGTCAGAATGCCTTGAGCTCTAAACAGGGAGTTTATTCCTTTCTTTTCGTGGCTGCATGTATACAATTGACCGAGCTAAATGCTGAGATTATTACAATAGAGAATGAAAAGCAACATGGGAGACCTGAAGTTTGGGTTTGAGGAAATGCAGGGAGTGAGCCTGGGATACCTGCTGATAAAAGGAAAACAAATGTTCGCCCTCTCCCAGGTCTTCACCGACCTGCTGAAAAATATTCCCCGAACTACCGTGCACAAACGCATGGATCACCTGAACGTAAAAAAACACCACTGTGATTTGGAGGAGCTGAGAAAGCTCAAAGCAATAAATTCTATTGCTTTCCACGCGGCTAAATGTACTCTGATATCACGGGAGGACGTGGAGGCGCTTTATTTCTCCTGCAAAACCGAGCGCGTGTTAAAATCCAACAAAAGAAAAGCAAAGAAGGTCAGTTTACCGGAGGGTGTGGGGGAAGGCAAGCTCCACGCAGACACGCACCCTGCCGGGTTATGGAGGGAGAAAGTTTGGTTAAGTTTGCACAGCGTTCCACAGACTCTGTCCCTCAAAAACAAAGCCGGCAAGAGAGAACAACCAACCTCCCGCCCCGACTCCAATCTACCTCAAATTTACAATAAATCCCTCGGTCAGGATTACTCCTCTGTCACCAAATCATCATGTAAACCCTTTAAAAACTATGAAACCACTCAAATACCGGGCAATTGCGTCGCGTTTAGCCAGGGACATTCGTTTTTCCGGAGTGTGGTGAGCAGGCAGCCGGTGTTGTTTCAGTCCGCCATTGCTGCTCAGTCCAGGCTCTCTGCAGCCGGCGACCTACTTCACAAAAGGAAGAGGAGGCGCGAGGGGGGCGGCGGCAGGGATAGGGGCAGCAGCGGCGCGAGGCAGTCATGGAGCAGGAGCAGACACACACACTCACACACTTATTCTCACATACACCACCCGGTGCTCCTCGTGCAGCCCAACAAGTGCTGCAGAAAGCCCAAAACACACTACAACCACAGCGGTACAACTCTGAGCCATTTTCACATTGGACACGAGTTTTACCTCGACCACCGAGCTCACCATCATCGTCACCCGCATCAACATGTGGGGGGTTTCCCGGAGAGCTACAGCAGTGACACAGAGTCCAGTTGTTACTCAGAGCGGCTCAACAACGACTCCGACTTCGGATCCAGTTTATCCACCAGCAGCAACTCTGGGACCTCTGATGAGGAGGATGAAGAGGAGAGCCCGTTGGAGAGCTCTGAGGTCAGTTCTGAAGAGGAGAGTTCATCTCAGTCTGACAGCAGCTCTGTGTCCAGCCAAGTGTCTGTTCAGTCTATCCGCTTCAGGAGGGCCCGGTTCCCCTCTCTCAACACCACCAAAAATATCACCACTAGAACTCTGCCTAATGCTCAATCTCTCTCCACTACTCTCTCCAGCACTAGAACTCAGTCGAACTCTAGAACTCTATCCAACAGTAGAACTCTCTCCCACACTAAAGCACCTTTTCTCCTGCAGCCTACCTTCCACTACAGCCATCAGCAGCAGCCATCTAGACCGGTGGGCCAGTTTGGAACCAGCCAGGTGGACTATGCCAGTCCGAGGGAACAACATAAATATGACTTTACAGCCAGGGAGGCCAAGCAGGATGCACAGGCACCCAGGTTCAGCTCGCCTTTCAACCGGGGGAGTTATTTCACTAAGAGGAGAGACAGGAAGGTTCCTGAGACCCAGGTCCTGTCCCAACGAGGGATAAAGACAACCGAACCTGTGTCCAGAACAGTTTATGCACTGAGCTGCTCACCTAATCCCAACGGGATCAAAGCGGTTCCTCCACACAGGACACCGGGACACGCAAAGAAATGCCTCCCAGTCCTGAGCTCACACTGCGCCCATGACAAAGACACAAAGTACCCCAAGCCTACAAACAACAAGGTTTCATTAGCGACAAATCTAAAAAGAGAGGTGAGAATCAGCCCCAACCTGAAACTGCCCTTTCTGCTCAAAACCATTAAGACCGAGCCGCAGGAGCTATCAGTGGCCGCGGGTCCCCTCCCTGAGCGCCGCAGGGCGGTCAAGACTCCCCCCTTCAACCTTCAGAATGTGAAAATCAAAGTGGAGGAGAGCTATGATGAATACGAACACTACAGCCAGGCCTCCGGGTTCCAATGCAAAGGAGATGAGGCGGATATCAACAATGGCCAATACCCCGGCGGCAACATCAAACAAGCTACTGGCTGTTTCAACAACGAGACCAAAGCCATTGAAAGTTCTGCTGGGGCTCCCAAGTCCTCCTCCGGCTTGCAGGAATGCGGGAGCACTCAAGACACCCCTTGTCCTGAGGAGGGGGAGTATAAAAACGGAGCTGGGTTCAGGAAAAACTACAGGAGTCTGGTGCTGGGGAAGAAGCCTGGAATTTCGAGGGTGCAGCCGAAACAGAACGTGTCTAAAGTTGACAGGACTTTATCTTCTCGTCCCGCGGGCAAAGCCGAGATTTGTGAGGGAAATACTGAGGTCCTAACAGGGGCGAGTAAACGAAAACGCCCGTTCAGTAATGTAGCAGCCCCTCTGAAGAGGCCTTTCAGCTTCATGGCGAATTTCCCCGCTCCTCCATCCCTGGTAGTGGGCAGAGACGGGGATTTAAGCCCTGCTTACTCTCTGAACTCTCTGGGGGGACCCCGGCCTCCTCCTCGCTCTCACCCCGTGTGGCGGTGGCAGCCTGGCGGTCTGCCTGTCCCTCCCCCACCCGCTCAGAGAATCAGGAAATGTTCACGTTTTTTTATTTGACAAAAACAAAAGAAATAAAAAACACCTGGATGGAAACCTACCTTGACTACAACTTAAGTCTTAAACTGAACGGGAGGCTCTAATGGCTTGCGTCCTTCAGTTGTTTTTATTTTTATTTTATCCTTTATATTATGTAGTGGATTTACAACGTTCCTCGTTGTGGAGTTATAGATCAGTTATACACTGCTATTCTCCATATCGCGCGGACCATATTTGAGACTCTCTACCAATGCCATTGGGCGATCCCTCCTCATGGATTTATTCTGACGAACTAACTCTAAATAAGCTATCTATCATAAGCAATAGGCTACACGGTTTGGCAAAATGTGTTTACATGACTTCCTCTCGGATCTATTTTCTCTTCGCCCTGACGCTGAGCGGTTGGATTGTCCCAGGGTTTCAGTGAAGTAAACATTTAGTTGTGCTGTAGGCCTACTCCCTTTGTGGTGAGAGAAAGAGAGGGGGAGACTCCCTCCCATAAAAATCACAGCACTCCTATATGTTGGTCTTCTTTACTGTATTTTTCTGACATCAGCTTTAATTTGGGTAAAATTGGGTTTAATCAACAGATTCAGGGTTTTCCGTTGGTAACATGGTTAGGGCTACTACTATTGTCTGTCACCTTAGCCCTATTATGAGCTGTGGTTGTTTTTTTCCCTATAGGATTTCTAAAACCTTACAGAAACCCTAATTTTATGCTTGCCAGAGTTTGGGTAAATGTTATCTAATTCAGATAACTATTTTTGAATTCGATTAAAAATGTCAATTAATTTATCCAAGCAAGTCCAAATTCATAATGTTCTTTGGACAGGCTATATTGAATAAGGCAGAATTGTGAGGGAATTGACCCTTACTCTGGTCTGGCTGGTGCTTGCAGTTTTTCAGAGTGTTTGTGATCTGGTTTCCAGCGTTGTTTGTATTTATGAGAGTATTTCCTGGTAAGCTTATGTTTGGCTGTAGTCAGACAGCCACCAGCGCCCATATAGGCTCCAAAACACTGCAGGCCTTATGTACAGACAATCACACAGAGAGAGACGGCATTTTGATGGGACATGTTCCTTTATATTACACGTTTATTTGTCAATTAAAACATGCGGGGAAAAAATGAGAAAAACAGTGAAAATTACACTCCTGTCCAAGACACTGTCGTAATACCAGTTTGGGGTTTGCGTCACACTAAAACAAAAACCCAAACACACCAAAACGATGTCTTACAACACACCGAGCCTAATATAATTTAATTTATAAACAACACATGGAAGCACAAGTAGTAGGCTTACATGCTTTTCACTTTGACACACTCTAGGGTCCCATTTCCGCTTGACGATTGTAGGATAGCCTACATTATGAGAGAAGTAAAAATAATATACATGTAAGATAAGGTAGGCTGCTAGCTTATGTCCACTTAAATATTTCACCTAAAATGTATAAATGTATAATTGGTTATTTGTGGCCATCCATAGCCTACACATGAGGTTGGATTATTTTCTATTTGGGTCAACATGGTACTAGAGCAGTTTATCAGTTGTTTATTGTACCCTTGTATCTGCAAGAATAAATAAAATGCCCAGCACAGCACGTTGCTGTGGAATAGTTAGCTATTAGCCCAGTGGGTAAATGCATAATTACCAGTTAAATTCTGCTGTGAAGCCCGCGGTGCTGAATTGACCTGGGAAAATCTCCAGCCATACAAAATTATTAAAATAGAGTATACATATTATTACAATACATACATACATACCTGCAGTCAGTCGAAAATGTAGGCCCAAACACAAAGCTGGTTGTGTCCCTTTGTTATGATAGCATTGCACTCTGTTTTACACAAAAGTCCATGGCCTTCTCCATGTCCCCACTTCAACTGATATAGTCTATACGCTGTTTTCTCACATGAATCAAGTCAGAATAATATTGTCTAATTTTGCCACATAAACATGTATAAATCTAGCCTTTAAAAATGGACGCGCGATGAATGTAGGCCTATATGTCAAACTTTTTTCATTGACCCTTATTTTAAACATCCTGATGTTGCTAATTAATACACTCAGAATAGACCAAAAATAAGAAGAAAATTCAGTCACATTTAACTGAAGTTGCACCTAAAAAAATGTTGATTTGGTGAAGTTGTGGCTAAGAGTTCGTTTTTCTCCCTGTGACAATGAGAGGCCGAGCCAGCCTGACAGATAACCACAAACAACATGCCTGATGATGTCAGGATTCTCACATCAACATCAGCAACAAAGACATTCGATTGGTGATTGTAGTTAAGAGGGAAAAACGCGCCGTTTCACCCAATGCTCAGAGTTTGAATAGATTGATCTGTGTGTGACATGCACCTCTACCACCCCAAGCCTGTAGGCTTCCCATACCATAGTGCGCACTTCCCTTGTAGCGAAGGTAGAGAAGCATTTAACAATGGCAAATTTGCCTCCAAACTAAACACAGCCATTTTATTCTCCATTTGAAAATGACGTAATCTCTCTCCAACCTAGAGGGAGTTAGGGGGAGGGGAGGGAGGGGGATCATATGTTGCACGAGGGAAGCTTCCACCACGTAATCCCGTGTAAAAGTGTACTGGGCCAGAGAAGGGATATACAGCGCAGCGTTCAGAGAGGGTACACACACACGTCCCTTTGTAGGTACTCGCCAATTCTCACGCCGATCACAGAGAACATCACCCGGGCAAGGAGATGGTGGTAGAGGCGTTTAGGGAAGACTAAAAGAGCTCTGACAGTGACGCTATCAATGTAAACAATTGCATGGTGTCTCAGCTCGAGGCACAGGGCTCTTTCTCCCTCTTTCTCGTTCTCCCTCTCGCTTTTCCTCTCAGCTCCAATCCTTATCTTAGCTTTTTGATACAATACTTGATTGAGGTCAGGGTTTTGACATTAAATTTGAAGTCACTGGTTGTTTATATAAAAAACGGAATATTTATTTTTGTGAATTACTGGGTTTTTGTATATCATTGTTGTTTAGGATAAAGCACTCGAAATGAAAAACTTGAATGTTGGATTTCTGAAGCACTTTCCCTTTCTTCCGAGTTATGAATTACTCATTAAAGACATCTGAGTGTGAGTGACGCTGCATTCTCTTTGTTGTGAGTTGAACAATAACACACTTCATTCATCTTGATATTACACTGTATGCCTATATAGACTGTAACGTCACCAAGAGGATACCATGTTGGCAGAGCATTGGTTCTGTGGACAAATGTGTAAATCAGTGCGTATTTTGGATTAGGATCTATTGGTGCAAGGGAACACTTTTACTATCCATTGGGTTACTGAAATGTAACTATGACCCACAGAGATATTACACTGCCATGCTTGATACACACTATAGGCCTACTTCTACGTAATTATTGACATATTGGCCTAGTGAACATATAGGCCAAGTCAATACAACAGTCTAGTACACACACTTCTAGACACAAACCTGTAGCACTCATGTGGGCCTATGAGTGCCATTAAGGCCGTACGAAGGGTTTCACAATTGATATCCACACGAATATATGATCGACTCGTAGTGCATAGTACCCATTCACAGCCGACAACATCTCCTCCGCCATGTTTGTTTCTCTGTTGCGGTTTTGATTAATGGGATTTTATGGTATGGTAAACCAGGAGGTTGATGGGTGGACCCCGGGGTAGAGGGCTGTCTAACCTAGGCCAGGCCTGTCTGCCTGGAGGCCCCACGGTAGCCTACGGGTGGAGGTTAGCCAGTAGGCTGCAACAGACGACTATTGGAGATCAATTCCAGTGCGGATTGCGAAACAATAGACTGTAACTTCTATAGAATAACAGGAGATAGGCAGAGAGGAATTAAATGAGTTAAACCACTAGTTGGATTAAGAAAAAACTCAAGCAATTTACAAAAGGGGTTGACTATTCTATCTTGCGCCATCGCTGCGTGGGCAGTTATTGCATCCAAGGCACTCAATACAGTATTCTCCCTGCTGTCCTTGTTTAGAAAACCAAGTTATATGAGTAACGCTGAAGGACACAGCCTGAATCAGGGTCAGCACAACGCCCTGAGCTATCAGACAATTAAATACAAAAGACCGATCAAAGCTGTCAGTAGCTTTTATTAAATCTCTCAACTGTACAAAAATAAAATTAAAAAAAGATTGTTGCCTGTCATTAATTTCCTCTCAAACGGTAATTGAAAAGACTATTCAAAATCACATAACTCAAAATACTTATATGAATTAATGAACAAATAGAAAATTGAATTAATTAGGCTAATGATTTAGATTTTAAGTTTTATAGGGCCAATAGAAAACACACACACAAGTTACTAGCTTCAGTAAAATACAATTTAATCTATATATAGGCTAGTTTTCATTGGTCACTTGTGGGAAACAATTGTGTCAATTACGCATCGTTAAAACAAACTTTTGATATAAAAGAATGGCTGCTGCACTTCTTATCTTTCCTTTCCCATAAAAAAATGGACACACATTTAGTATCTCGACCTTCTAGTAAAATCCTGCATTTAAATCAATGGGAGATTTCCGTGAGAGTTCGGGTTACACGAGCATATATCACTTTGGACCCATCCACAATGGCTGTAATCAATAGGCAAATGCTGCCGGTGTTAACCCATCCCATGCAGTCTGATAATGCCTGATCCTACACACCATGAAGACCAGAAATCACATAGCCTATCCGTTGGCCAAGTTACGATATGTATTTTGTGCACTTAATCGTCCAAATTACCAATAATCTTCATGGAATAATAATAGGGCTTACTTTCAACACATATATTAGGCCTAGTTCATTCTTTTCAATAGGTAAATGCAGCCAGACCAAAGTAGGACTATGTGATCTTGCAGCACTAGGCCCTAGCTGACCATGTACAGCAGAAATCCACAACTGATTTGGCCATGCAGGGTGTTGCACCAACGCCTGAATCAAATGACCTAACTACTGAATAATGGTAATTCCATCCACGAATTGTATTAGTTCAATCATTTAAATAATTATATTCATAGAAGTATAATT